CCTCATCATCATCATCATCATCATCATCATCACCATCATCATCGCAACAGCGAAGGTAATACCTAGAGCAGTACTAATTCCATACCGTAGTGTGAATGTTCGAGTTATTTAATTGTTCACATGTCTAGGTTATTTTCTCGCGTCTCCCTTTTGCAACCAGACTTCCTAGTAATTTCCACACATATGCACACAGAATATAACTTGTCTTCTTGTCTTCTCAGAAAACTGGTAGACGTAGTATGTTGTGATTACTTGACATACTATGCTTGAGACGTCGACCGACCCAAATCGCATATGGCTGGGCAACTTGCCTCCTCGAACCACCGAGTTCTTTATTTTGAAACTGGTCAGACAGTTTGGCGAGCTTGCAGACTTCACCTTTCCCGTCCACAAAGTCGGTCCCCAACAAGGCGCAACAACAGGGTTCTGTTTCGTCACTTTCAAAAGTCGAGAGGCCACTCAGCTAGCTCTACGAAGGTAGGCTCCTCCATTTCGATTTATAAACCCTCCTGGTTGATTACAAGGATAAAGAACTGTCGTTTTAGGTAAGAGTCTTGACTTCTTTTGACAGCTGTGTCTGGTATATGTGTCCAGAATAAGCATATTATCTACGCACCAACACCACCCTAACCGGTCAATTTTACTTACCAACATAGACAGCTCCTAGTCGCCCCTATTCGCTCTTTGCGGTCGTCCTTTGACATCTGTATCCGGAGTGGAATCGTTTTTTGCCTTAAAAGACGAATTTACTGACAAGAAAACTGCACAGATCAGAAGCTTACTTTGCAAATCCTCCATTTAATTTTCCCACCCGCGTTAATCTAGTTCTTTTGGGAGACTTGCCGTTGGAACATGATAGATCAATGCCGCAAATGTCCCCACTTTACTCAAAGCCACGCTCAAGTCACCACTACCGTAATCTGTGGATATTAAAGGTCTTCACTAACCACGTGGAGCGAAATACCATTCAAAAGCATGCCGGCACCCGAAGTGATGACTGTTGGCCCAATTTACACATACCTTCTTTATCTTAGAGTAAAATTCGTCTGCCAGTGTGTGCTGTCGAAAATCTGCACCATACGTAGCAAGGGTCGTCTTTTTTCCGTAACACGTCACCCGCGATTTTCGGCCTAGCAAACTGTACGGTTCGATTCCTCAAGAGCGTCAAGGGGCTTGAAAATGTCGAATTTTTGCCACAGATATTGACGAACCTGCTTTTCTCAGGAGGAGCTGCACGTAACTCGTAAGTCCTTTAGCTTGAATTAACTCTATGACCAGGTTAGAGAACATGCCAAAGTAGTGCAACTGGAGATAACACTCCTGTCAGCACTAACTCGCCTCGTAGACGAGCGCAAAATAGTTCTGTTGGAAAAAGAAAAAAGAGTCAACTTTTCCCCATTGCTTCGAACTTACCCCAGCCAGACCAGTCAAGTCTAGTAGAGAGGGAAATTTAGCTAAACAATGGTATAGCCAAGACTGAAAAATGGCGACAGTAACCTATCTGCCTGTTGTGTCGTATAGTTTCTCCCCTCTCCATGGTCCGCGACGATTGATACAACGAGCTTGAATCCCCCCTTTTCCAGCAGCATAGACCTTATATCAGATCTTAAAGAACTACTTAGATATTTTGAGGGATTGCGTCGAGCCATCTTTTAGGCCCACGGCTTCTTTGTCTACTATAGCAAGCCTACAACCTCGGGTAGGCTGTCGTAAGGGACGAGGCCTAATACTGCCCGGCGAAATCAGTCGTGTCTGCACAGGAATTTATTTATAATGAAACAGACTTGCTCTGCATATTCTCCGTTCTCTCATATCCACCATTCGATGATAAGACAGGATGACTTGGGTAGTCATAGGTGCAATGACATACTGTAGGTGTGCTAACTCATGAAATGTTAACTGAAATTCTGAAATGCGTTTTCGTTTCGAAAAGATTACGTAATTAGGGTTGTAAAACTAGTCATCTGCAGCATAATTATATAATAATTAAGTTACCGGGGGATGCCGGCTTTCGAACGAACTTCTTTCCGGCTGCATGCAAAAACCACGCCCGGTAATGAATAAATACTTGAGTAGCATAAATGTTTCTCATTTATTTTCGATGCCCTTAAAATGCAATTATATTTCGTGGAAAACATGCATAAAAATATCCATTTTTTACTCATTTGGTAGAAAATCACGTCTTCCAGGTAATTCTTTTGAAACGAAAACGTATTTCAGAATTTCGGCTAACATTTCATGAGCTAGCACACACCTACTGTACACAGTTAAACAGTGACGACCTGATTCCGAACACCCGCACACACCAGACACCTAGAAGGGATGTCGGATCTTGCGTAACTGGAAGCGTGCCACAGACCCCTAATGAACCATTTCAGCCTGATTCCTGATTCTGCGCTAGGCTAAGTTATCTCGTCAGTTTGTGACTGCTGACGCATCATGATACTTTAGAAGCGCGTGTTTATACAGCATCCGGGCTGGATCGACCTCAGCCCGTCTTCCCTCACTTACGTACCCATGGCCTGTATGTGCCTGTCGACCGACTGGCGACTAGGCTGGGTACAGTGACTGACGTGGTGTGGAACTCCTCTGACGTGTGCCGCGCACATACACCACACATGGGAGACTCGACGCAGCCAGACTGACGCATTCTGTGAGTCAGTGTCACCCCCACCCATCTCTTTCGTAACGACGACCGACATAAGATAGTTTCACCATCGTAAGCGGCAAGGTCGACTTTTGTGTGACTGCAACTGACCTACTCCATTCTCCCCACGCTCACCATGTTCCGGTCAACAGGTGTGAGACAAAGTCCATTGACATTTGCTGCGAGTTCATTTTGTTAACTCAGGTGACGCTGATTGAAATGTGATCGTTATCTTCTCTGGGCGAATTCTCGGTCTCGGATTTGGGTGGCCGGGAGCAAGTAGATGAAGGCATCGTTGCGTGTCCAATTCGGTTGTGGTATCCAGTGTGGAGCCGCCGCGTACAGGTCGTAGACACTGACGCTTGATAATTTGTTTCTGCCTGTATGGGCCTGATGCTGAGCAGTTGGACGTCGGTTCTGTATCCGATGTTGATTTAAAGTTTAAGAGTGAGGTCGAGTACACCGCCTTGCTTCACTGCCCCCGTTATTACAAACGCTTCCAAATTCGCTCCATTATCCGTGAAGTGCACCACCAAGCCGCTGCTATTTCGTCTTATTATTTGCTTAAGTCGTCCCGAGCACTGGAATGTTATAAGTGTTTTTCATACGTCAAAGGACTTCTACTAGATTGGCAAAGGTAACTGTGGGTCTTGGAGTTTCCCGTGAAACATACTTCTGACACTTACTCTATGATTGGGAAAGAAATTCCTTCTTCACACAGCCGATAAGAGCGGAAGAGACAATCCTGCGTGAAATGCCGAAGGAGCTTCCGTGGTAACCGTTTCACCACTAGTGTTTTCGTCTTGGCCTTTAGAAGCAAGCCATGGTGGCGTTCTTTAAGCCTTCGGTAGTTGTCCGTGTCTCTGCACTTCATTAAAAAACGAGGTGTTTGTTCGAAGTGGATGACCACTGTGTTCTCAGACTTCAGTAGAAGCTGAATCATGAGTAGGAGATTTTTCACTGCCTTGATCGTTTGCCACAGGGAGGGCAGAAGAACAAGGTCAGCGTCTGTTGCCACTTGAGGCAGTTATTGAATTCAGAGCTGCGCTGGACACCTGAGGTGAGCGACGGAGAACACGCTCAGTTCACTCCAATCCTATTTTTTGGATGACGTGAGATATTTTCACGGTGTCGTCGCATCGAGTGAAGGGTCTGTACTCCACCTAAAGCGTCTTTCTGATGAAATGCTAGATAGAGGTCGCTGTTTCTCGCTCATCGTCATACGACGTTTTAACCGTCACAAGCAACAGAGTCAGGCACTACTTCACCAGAGGGGCATATCCGTGAACTGCGCGGGACTTTGTTTGTAGCCGAACGGACTTGCACCACATTAACCTCACTATCCCCTCCAACACCTCGTTTTCTGATGGCACTACAAAGCCAGGGTGACTGGAAGTGGGATTGGACGCAGTGGCTTGCAAAGTGAAACAGGCCACTTACGCCTGCAACGTGACCCAGTCCCCAACTCTGCATGTGTCGGATTTCATCCACATGCCCGGAATCTCGAATTCCACGTAGGTGAGAGTGCAATAAGGGCCGCACTAAGAAATAGCCCTTACGGCCTTGGTTTCAGTCCTGAGCGAGACCGAGTTATTCCACCAGTTAGCAACTTCCCAAGCCACAACTGCTAGCGCGTCGCAGTGGTTTTAAAGCGTGTTTGGTTGTTTGTGGTGAAAAAGTAAGCGCTCGGTCGGCCACTTTTTCATTTCACCCTTCATAACATCAGTGGCTTGTCCGAGCCAAGCCGACTGAGAATTGGATTATGCGCGGTAACTGATGTAACGTGAAGTCATCCCCTATCACATGCCACAAGCGGGCTTGAATCTCACAGGTGAGACCACCACAAAGGCGACATTTAGAAGGAACAGTTACAATCTTATTTTTGCTCCAATGGCCTCCGACATGCGACCCCATGCCGCGACGTAGCTTGTCATAATACGTTCAAGCGCCTCAGATCTACTGTCTTGAATAGTACGTTGACATGTCACGATGTATTCCTCAGAGTCGGACTCTCTTTCTATGCACCAATGACATATCTGAGGCTGTCGGTGGACTATGGATGAGTTTGGACGTTAGCGACTAACATGCTGTCAGCCCTCGTCAAAGGCGTACCGCACGTATGGGTGTCAGAAGGCAAGGCCTCGCGCAGGCCCAACGCAATCTGACAAACTCATGCGGCAGGAAAATTTCCCCCGTAGTTTCGGTCGAGCACTGTCACGGCGCATCTTTATTTTTTGTTGGGTTACCAATTGGCATTCGTCTGATCAGCATTCAAGACGATGGAGTGCTGATCAGACGAATGCCCAGCACACTCAGATCTTTGCAGTATTAGCTGTTTCTTAACGTCCCCATAAAGCATCTTCCGGCCTCGGGAACAATTGTCTTTGTAGCGATCAGTTTCTCCCTAGAAGATTAGAAACGGCACATGGAAATTGGAGTTGGTGGTTTTAAGTGAATTTAGTATATCTAGCATTACAAACTTCCTAAGATTTACGCATTTTCGTCGTTCTCCTACTTCCCTCCACTGGTAGATCATAGTAAGCCGTCCAATTCTTAGCCGAAACTGACGCACATTTTGTGAGTAATATCTGTCGTAAGGCAAGTCACAACCTCAGTTCGTCCTCTTACTCCACTGACCAAGCCGATTTTTTTTTAACTGAACTGCCATCCTTTATGCGTAAACTCCCGTTCTATTATTTAGACTAGATGGCCTCCGTATCGGCGACCACACTTTGTCTGCGCGCTTGGCCAAACCCTCGAAGGAGGAGACATTATTGGCCCAGTCTTCGCTGGCCGAAGCGCGACGGCAGAAAATAGAGGATGAGACCAAGAAAAGAGAGGAAGAACTCGCCCGCATTTTGATGGATAAATCTCAGTCATCGACAACTACCACTTACATCGCCAAGTAAGTGGGAAGACGCCTTTGCAAAAAGGACATCCATCGGAGGTCCCTATGTTGCACTCATTGCCTCCTTGATGTAGTTTCATCCCTTCTGTTATTTACTTGAGCGTAAGTGGTTCTTGAATAACTGAATTAAGAGGTACCATGCAAACTAACCATTCGTCCACTTTCTCCGTCCTCTCTAATCACTTTTGGCGTAGAAAGATTGACGAGCCCCCGACCGCCTCCTTGATGCCGGCTTCACGTCCCAAGGTGATGACTATTATGCCAACGCCAATTCCCGACCTCTACGGCAAGTTGGGCCAGGTTAGCGCAGGGCCACTAAAGTCTGGGTCATCGTCCGTCTCTGGTGAGTTCCCATATTCTTACATTGAACACGAAAACCAAATCATTCCCAACCGGTTTGCAGCAAGCACTTTCACAGCATCTACACAGTATTCAGGATAGGCGCAACGGCCTGGGACATGTGGTCACAGTGCTTCCAGCTGATGTTCACTTACGCGTGCACGATCTGGATTTTCAGTCTAATTACATGCTGCATCACAGTCAACGCGTAGTATTTTGTGGGAAACCGTTTTCTTACCAAAATACCCAACCATGTTCATAGGGTCTGGAAGTCGGGTCCTTAATAAAGTTGATTTGTGCGCCATCTGCAGTTGGTGCTTTCCCAGTTGCCTTTTTCAATGACTTCGGCACGTCCTCAGCGTAGGATAGTGTGACAGGTTGCTGGTTTAAGTGCCCGCCTGAAATGACCATTTTAGGACTCGTGCTGTCTCGCGCAGGCACGCGCGAAGTCTCGGAGGTACTCGGGGGGGGGGGGAGAGAAGCATGGAAAGATTGTTTAATTCTATTAGATACTTTCAATTGCCACGGCGGCGTTTTCCACCTGACTAAATAGACTGTCGGTAGAACTGTACCTGTAAGAGGTAGGCTGGTTGTTATCCTGTGGCCCCCACAACGGGCTGTGCCACAGATGTCCTGGGCCCAAACATGATCACATTGGCTCATGACGTCGGGCTGTGCTGAATTCGCGTAAGCCAGTAACTGCAGGCGTACAGGTGCGGCACTCTTTAGACATTGGCCTTCGCACCGCGTCGACAACTGCACCCAACTCCATCAGACATTGGTTGAGAGGAAGACGAAGATGCGATCACTGGAACAAGAAATTTATTGGCCTGACATTTCGCATTCTCACTCGAACCCACCATCGCGGATGGACGCAGATGCGACTGTCTCTGATGGTGGGTTCGAGTGAGAATCCGAAATGTCCGGCCAATACATTTCTTGTTCCAGTGATCGCATCTTCGTCTTCTGAAATGCCTCCTGGAACTCGCCTGCTCGATTCTATCAGCAATTAGTTAAGAGGCTCTGACAGTCGACTGGTGTATGGGAGTGGCCAACGTTGGGAAATCGGTCTCCAGGGCCATTCATCACTATAACAAGTCTGGCATGCCAACAGTCGTGGCTTGGAAGCTTGTCAACTGACGGGATAACTCGACTAAGTCAGCTTCTTCGTAATGTGGCCTCTATGGCACTCGATCGCACGCAAAACTCGAGCCGCCCGTATGGAAGTCCGGCACATGCTGCTGGGGCCAGGTCGTGTGTGGAATGCGTAGATCGGACTCTCTGCGGCACGCGGTTAACGTCGTCGTTCGCCACGGTCAAGCTGTCAGTTTTTTTGTGGTAGCGGTCTACTTCAGCATCACTTTATCGTAATAAGTCAGCGTTTGAAATAATCCATCAGTTGTAAGAGGACATCCAGAAGTCTTCCGTCAACTTCTCGAGCGTGAACCCAACTTTTCTATAGCGTTTCAGGTTAATTATTTTTATTACCGCTGGAGCTAATCAAGGGAAAACCGCAAACTCTAATTTTTGTAGTGTCCTCGCAAAGGTCAGGGATAGGCGAACCCGTATCCCTAGTACTGCAGCTGTTGGCTGGAAGAAAGCTAAGGCCATTGGACGGTATAATGCGACGTCTTTAGCAGTGCCAAAGCTTTAATTGGGTATACTTCAGGGTTCCAATCCCTTTTACGAGTTTCCGCGCATTAAATGCCTACGCTGACAAATGCCTGCCGATAAGTCCCTTTTCTGTGCACAATTCAATAATTTCTACTTATAAACTCAGCGAGGCCATGGGCCCTTGGTAGTTATATTTGTCACTTTTATTGGCTGTGCATCAAGCAGTATGTGACTCCTGCCCTTCTGTTTTAAAACACCCGCAGGCCAGTCTCAACCAGCATCCAATAACTTGACAATAAGTCGAATAGAGGCCACCCTTCGCCGTCTTGAAAGAGAGGACGCGACAACTGTCCAGCCCGCCATTTTGCGTTCTTTCACCGGTGGTGTTGGAGAGTCCTTAAAACCACATCCTGCCCTGGCTGGTGTACTCACGATGCACAAGGACGTACGACCGAAAAGCCGAAATCACCGCCACTATCCATACGGTGGCACCAAGACGTCCTTTGGACAAAAACGGGACACGTGGCAGAACGCGCACTCTGGCCGACGTCTGTAGACCTCTTTCACACCTCACTTCCCGCCCTCAACTGAATTTTTTGCTATCGTATTAAACTATTTTATCGTTGAAAATGCCTGCTTACAGACATTGCCCTAAGAGACCGAGTATTTTAATCTCCCACGTCCTGAGTATTAAGGCGTCTGATTAGCGCTCAAGTCCGAACTGCGGTAACCCTCGCTATCTCCAACAACACCTATTTCCAGTTTGCAGACGCCGAAAATGAGAGGGATCTGACTGCCATTCAGCCCAATAGTTACAGTTCGGCCAAGCACTAACAACAGCCTTAGCAACTCAAGGTGGTTGCGAGATGTAGAAACACTGCGGATTCGCGAAGAAATAATCGCGTCCGCTACAGGGCCAACCTGGGTCGTTCATTCTTCACGTTGATTTCTGAGCGCAGGCGAGCAGGTCCGACGCGGCCAAACAAGCCAACCGAGGTAGTGATCCGTACATTCATCTGGTGAAACCGAATTCTCACGTGAATAACGCACGTTCCGTGGACTAGTACAGCTACTTGGGCATAGCTAGTTTGATAATGGTCTACTTACTATGCGAACAGTCGTCGGAGAGGCCAATGCTTACTGACCTGCCAACCAACACTAGTTCTACTCGGCCAAGTGGGGAATACATTGATGGCTTTTATGGGACGCGATTAATTGTTAACTGTGACTACCGACATTATGAATAACGGGCGAACACCAAGACGAATTGGGACCGCCCTAATGTCGCACACAGAGCGGAGACTCTTACTTCCAGGACTGAGACGGTAGGTAATTGGAGGAGACAAGCTGTTACCGGACTTCTCCGGCACGTAAATCGAGGATCTTCCTTCGACAAAATTCTAGAACAACGTTGCGGTGTCTCATTTGGTCAGAACAGTCGCAGCACTGGTCGCCCGAACCTGTCCCCGGAGACCACGTGAGAATAGCGAAACCAGGCATATGGTGGTACGCCGCCAAACTTGATAGATGTCTGCACCGCCGGGTGACCATCAGCAGAGTATTTCCGTGTAACCAGCCTGGACTGCGCGTCAGACACGTTGACGCCAACGATATACATCAATTCATCCGGAGGGTGGCCCGTAGCGGGGGGCATAAATGAGCCTCCGTACAGCTGAATGGCACTTCAGTCCCGGCTAGATCGCTCCCGGCGTCGGAGACAACAAGCCCAGGTTACCTTAAACGATCCACCCTACTCGTCCAAATTAACCCAGAATGCTCAAAGGCACATGGCCGTCATCAGGCGCAGTCAGGTACATAAAACGAGACAATCTCTTGATAATCCGAAAGAGAACACAGTAAGGCAAGGCAGGAGGTAAGCGACTCTGTGCGTCGATGCTTGACAAGGCTCAAAGGCTGTGATGCAGCCAGGGAGGGTAAGGAGGGTGGGACTAAAAGTGTGCAGGCAAGGCGTTTTCACATCTAAAGGAACCGGTCAGCGGAAGTACTCGGGAGGCTTGCCTACGTGAAAGAGAACAGCACTGTGGGAAAGAGGCCAACAGTGTGAGCTAAAAGCAACAGATCGAATATCGAGATATCTGGGGGGCAGTCGAAATTCGGAGGGCCGTATCGACTCATGTTCATACGTATATGTACACGGCAGGGCCGGCCGCCGGGAGGGAGCACCCGGCCGAGCAGGTCTATGTGCTGCGTTACCGCCAGCGCCAACCGAGCAGCAGCAACAGAGAGATCAGGCATTAGGGCAGGAGAGACGAAGGCGCACAAAGCAATGACGACGACCGAGGCGACGGATATGCAAATGCGAGAAAAAAACTGAAGGATGGAGTGCCGGGATACAGCATTCACTTTGAGCGCACGCGCCGGCGAGTTGGTTGGCTGGAAGTATTCGCAAAATCACAATTTGAGATCGGAAATAGCTTCAGGTCCGACTTGACAGTTTGCTAATGACGCGCACCAGGGACTTGTTCTCGTCGCTCATCTTCGCATTTTCCTGCCGTAAGCGCTCAATCTCCTACACAAGTGAAGAGCACCAGAGAACGAATTAGTAAAGACAACAGTAATCAAAATGCGTGACGGATTCCGTTCTTCCAAGAAAGCGCAAAGCAAGCGTGCCAAAGAAAACAGCGCAACAACTGATCCCAGTGGCTCCGGGAAACACAGGGCAGAAAGTCAACTTACGGGTTACATAAGAAACAGGCGGTTTGCCAATCTTCTACAGGAAACAGGGCTGACTCATTTCGATTCTAATAAGAGCCCTTGAACGTGGAGACGTATGGAAACCACTGTCCTTGAGGGCAGTGGAACACGACTTTCATGCGTCCGTCGCAGGAGCGCTGACATTCATATCAGGGTCATCCTCAATATATAACCTTGAGGCAATCGGGAAAACGATTCCTGGGCGTCTACTTAGGGTTCCGTTGCATTTAGGAGACAAGCACACAACATCCTGCTTGCCTTGGCATCGGTTTTAGTTTTTGTACTTTTGTATCTATCTTGAAACGCGGTTGAAAACTGGGTAAATGTTGTAAAGTTAATCAAGTGACCTAGCTCTGATCACCAAATAGGCCCTATTTTGGTCAAATGTTAATTGGCCATTTCGGCGGGAACAAATTAGAGAATAAATCCAAGAATTATAATACAAGGCGGTCAAACTGACCCGGCACCCCCATTTTAAGTACCGTGAAAAATTGTAATGATCTCTTGTCTCCCAAGGATAAAACAAGGTGCATCCACAGAGGCTACCCCTCTACTGGATTATGAACAATTCAGGAAAGGCCACTAACACAGATCGTCGGCAGGTGCTAAGCTGAAAATTGGGTCACGCAAGCTAGGTGAGGTGAGGCATTTTGTGTTTTATGAATTTCAAGCGAAAAGTGTACATGGAGACTGCAAATTTCAAATTAACACGAAAACTACAAATCCGGTTTGCGTGTGCAAATCACAATGTGATGCTCTCGATGTAGACGGCCTAGGAGACACATGAATAGCAGGAATTCTGACCCTAAGATGACCAAGCTGCAAGCGCATGCACAACCAACACCATCGGGGAGAAACTTCGAAAGACAAAAACAAGGTAATGGAAGGTGGGAGAAACAAACAGCTTAAATGAACCTTCACTTGGTCCTCAAAGTACGCGGCACTCCGACGGAGCTGGAATTTGGAGATGAATAGAAAAATAGGGGGGCACCCAGGTTAGGGGCATTTAAAAACCGCGGAAGAAATTCGACCTAAAGAGAGCTTGGATCCAATGCAGGGGGGCTGCTCGTTAAGTTCGGTATGTGAGGGACAAAACCAAACATGTAGTCCCATTAACAGCTATGGGAACACTAAAATTTATGTAAAGTCAGCCCACGCAATCTGTTCATGGTTAAGTTAAAAACAAAGGCTCGACAGTTGATAGTAACCGGATGTAACAAAGTAGCCATACCGAAGCTGGACTGGGATCTCGAATTCCGCCCGAGTAACCGCCAAGTTGGCTCGATTTGGAGGTCTTTAAACGTGCCAGTTCGCTCTGAAGGGCGGCGAGGTCACGGTTTGTCTTCTCTAGCAAGCGCCTAAGACGTTCCTTTTCGTTCCGCTCTTCTTCGTATAGACGCCGGTAGTCAATCTTCTAAAGGTAGCAAAACATGAGATACATAAAACGAAAGCCCGTTAGCATACAAATTGACAGCGTGAAGCCTGCACTCATATCTGGTATACTTGTCAAGACTTTCGGCTAGAACGTACATCACGCCAGGTGTACCGCTCCTGCGGCTGGGCGGAGGATGCAACAGAGCCGCTAGACCGTACAGGAGCTCCGTTTGCTGTAGATGGGGAGATCTGCCGACTGGGAGAGGGAGTAGGACGGTCACCATTACTGACACCACCGCCAGCACCGCTTGTACTGGTTGTAGAAGATCGAAGAAACCGACTTGTAGGCTTTTGATCGGAGGCGGAAAAGTAAACATAGACGTAAAGGGTAAAGGGGAATGAGGTCGAATATAAAAAAAAATCGAGAAGAGCAACAACTAGTAAGGGGTAGGGAAATTAACAGACATGGAGGAAGAGCATACCCTCGGGATGGTTGACGAGTCATCAGTCTTGACAGAAGACTGTTCCAGCAGACTTGCCGCGGCGAGGACATCGCTGGTGTTTACCTTTCCCGTGCAAACCCGATCCCGCGTTTTGCGACCACGGTACGCGGAAGGGGTAGTGTTCGTGGTTGTCGGTGTTTGAGAATTGTCTGCAACCAAGTCTGGTTTCTGTGAATCTACGAAGTGTAAAATACGAAAACTGATGAACAGTCCGAAAGACAAAGAAGAGAATTCAGATAGCAGTTAGACGAAAACAGAAGAATCGATAAAGTTCACTTTAAGGTAAGGTAATACTATACTAACAGCACAGGTACCAGAAAGGAGACATGGAATGCTGGGGGACCCACTGACGAGCCGAACCCCTCGCAGCTGCGCCATGCAGCGGCAAAACATCGGCGAAACACGCGTGTATGGGCTTTTGGCTAGTACATGTGATGTTAGTATGGTATCACCTTACCCTAAAGTATACTACTAGCTGCCTGTCGGCAGTTAATGAATATTACGCGGTTACCCGCTGTGGCTGATGGACTTTGGCCCAAATATTCATACATAAAATTATCGGTCTGTGCCTATAGACCTTGAATAAACTGATCTACTCCAACTTCGTAGATAATTTCTGAGGAAATTAAGAAAGCAACAATTGATAAAGTGCAATTTGCCAAGTTCCACATGGCAGAGGAGGCGTGGAAATTGGATGGCCCATAAATGTGTAACTGTTGAAGCTCCAAAGAAAAGCGAGAGAATGGCTTTATTTTGAAACAATCGACATTCCCGGCATGCATCTGACAGTTCAGAGGATTTCGTGATTAATAAGCTTGATACCAGAGACCTACCCTAACAAGTTACGCATGTCGAGCCAAACGGTAAAGGATCATGGAGCATGGTTAAGTGGTTGGAAGCTAATTCCAGGTGGCAAACCGAACTCCAAGTACGCAGATGAAATTGTGAGGTAGTGTTGAAAAAA